CCTGTACTTACATTCCTGGGACGGTCTACACCGTCAGGCCACAGCGTAGGGTATGCGGCTATGCGGCTACCTACTACGTAGGTTCTACGCAGAAGTATTAATCAGCTTTTAGGCTGTTTCCCTTCTGCCTGTATCTACTGTATCTACTATATGGTCATATACAGTAGTCTCACACTTAGGGTTAGTGTGCATCTCTGTTTATGTCCCAAATCAAACTGAACTAACACACTGCCTCTGTATTTATGCAGAACCCCATATAGAACCATAAACACAACCCAGGAGAAACCATGATAAAAAAGAATATTTTAGATCTTCAGCACTGAGTACCAGTCATGTGTTAATGATAATTATGTTGGAAGTATGCTGGGCTTCATCTGACAGTGAAGGAGGGACAGGGCCTTCCTGCTGGTGCACATGGGAACCACTGTCTGATTGGCTGTCACCGATTTTCCCTTTACATCAGATGACACGGTCACATGACATCATACATCGTAAGTGTCTTACCATCTCTGATTCTGTGTCATAGGGGCAGGAGAGGATTGATGGAGGACGACTGCTGTGGATTCACACAGCATGCAGCCCACTGTGACCTCTGACCTTAGCCTAACCTCTGCAAGCCACTCCTCCACGTGTTCATTTTGACACACACTGAAGTCTGGTTGAACTGTAAAAAGGGGCATACAGCCTCATTTTGAATGATTATTAAGCAATAAAATCTTTCATTAAAGAAAAAGCCTTTTATTTAATTATTTTTCAGTGCAGATCTTCAGTGTTCTATGACTTGGTGTACAATTGTTTCCTCATTACTCCGCAAGGCTGATAATTATGGTTGGCTGGTGATTATGTCATCTTCAAAATGACCACAGAACAGTATCATTACCTCTAAGACTCAGTCTCACAAGAAACTGTATGTTCTTCAGCAATTTATGTCATGGTTCTCGTTCAGGAACTACAAATAACCAATGCTAATGTACACAGACACCTGACCTGGTGTAAAAGCTACATTTATTTATTTATTTTTGGGGAGGATGGGGTGGGGGTGTGGATGGATGTGTTTCAAAAATTTCTAATGCAGCTTCAAGTTCATAACTGAAACCTATGAGTTTCTCTGTTGCTTGCTGATTGCAGATAGGCCTGTTTCAGGTATGAGTCTCTAAAGACCACAAGATTGCTGCTTGAAGGTCATGCAAACACCAAGTCAGTCCATCAGTTCTGTCTCTGTCAGGTGCTGTCTTGAATGAATGGTAAAAATGCATGTACGCGCATGTTGGTCTGCACGAGATAAGATACTACTTGTTAGTTGGGCCTATGCAGAAACAGCACTGTGTTGCTGAGACCAAGCACCTGCTGCAGGTGAGCAACGATGTCCTGATGCTCTCGTTCCACCACACGGACTGGAACATTTTCAGACAAGCAGCCACTAATGGCGACCAGACCACAGACCTCAAAGATTCTGCACCCACGGTGATTGGCTACATCACACAGTCACAAAAACAATCACCACACCTTCCAACCAGAAGTCATGCCTTGCAGCCGAAGTTGTCAAACTGCTAAAAACCCATGACGTAGCAGTCAGACCAAGACTGGATTGTGAGCATGCTCAAAAAATCAATAGACCCACACCATACACCTATGATATTGATGCCTCCCTCACTGATGTACCAAAGACATTATATGTACAGTTTTAATATCAGGCACTTGCTGCAGGTGAGCAAGAATGTGCTGATGCTCTCGGTCCAGCACATGTACTGGAACATCTTCAGAGGCAGCTGCTAGTGATGACCAAACCACAGACTTCAAAGAGTCTGCAGCCACAGTGGCTAGTTACTTATATAAACAAGTGCACTGAGGGTGTCACACTCACAAAAACAATCACCACACTTTCCAACCGAAAACTTTGGTTAACAGCAGAAGTTGGCAAACTGCTGAAAACCCCAGACGCTGCATTCGGAGCAGGAGATGAGGCAGTACTCAGGAAGACAAGAGCCGACCTGTCCTGAGACATCAGGCCAGTGAAGTGTGAGCATGATCAAATAAATCTCCTAAACTTTCATCACTATAAACCAAAGCACCTTACAACTGTGTCTGTCTCATTCATAATGCCACATTTAGGCTCTCTCTCAGAAGCTGCTTTCAGACCCGGACACACAAGACTGGCACCATGGTGGAAGATCTGCAGCTCTAGCAGCGCTGGAGAGATCAATCATCATTGGAAACAGAGAGACACTTTCATTCCTGTTACTCACAAAGAAAACCTTTTGGGGGCGCCACTGCCTGAAGAAATATAGATTTACCAAAAATACACTCAGTACTCTTTGCTAAGAAATAATTGTCACCATTTGAGTACCTCTATTAGCAAGAAAATGTCATATCTTTCATTTGTCAAAGTAACCTCCTCTAGCAGTCACAATAGCAGACAAAAATCAAGGGACTCTTTTCTACAAGAGACATTAAATACTGCTGTGTTTGATGGGATGAAACAGTTAACTAGTGCATTTAAAGTATAGTGTTTGTATGAGCAAAAAAAAACATGTAATGCATTATCAACTAGTGTTGCTTACATTGGCTAACAATGAACATAGCTAGAACATTCACTGTTAAATGGCTTTCCGACATGTTGTGCTAGAACGTGGTTACCTTGGGTGTGATGTCATTCCCAAGTTACTGTATGTGTCATGGCACAGAGTGCATGAAGCCCTGTAGTGTATGGGGCTGCAACTGTGTGCTTCCTGTCTGTCTATAGCTCTCCTTGGTCTTAGGTCCAACCATAAACCTAGTATTCCTCTAACGCTATTATTTTCACATTATTTTCCCTGTTTATGGTGTCCAGGTTTTGGCTATACAACCTGTTACACATCCCAGCTTGAGATATTCACACATCACAAACCCCTGTCTGAATGCTTGTAATACCTGATTAGTATTTAACACCAGCAGCTTGAAAATTACAGCCATCTTGCTCGGTGGGTGTGATATTTATCAGGGACGTACCTGAAGTACCTCCTTCTCTTGGCTGTGACACCCACAAATTCTTGTTAAATCGCACCAAAGCTTCAGGTCTCCCCATAATAACAGAACCTACCCAAACTCTTAATGACAAGAAGAAACTGTGTGTCTCTCTGATCATCTTACTCTGTGAGTAACATTCAAACTCAGTGCTGTCTGGTTGTGTTGGAAAGAAGCTCTTGACAAATTATAGAACTAAATTAAATAAGTTCTCTGTTTATTTGTAAGACTTTTGATCAGAGACAGTGCAGTCTGAGTGACTATGGCGTTTATTCTTGGGATGAGCGATGTCCAAAATAATATGTGATATTTTAATTGAAAAACAATAATACTGAGTCGTCCAACACGTCCGTAAATACACACACATGTACACATAAAGACAAACTCCCACAACAAGCAGACCACTTAATTTGTTTTTCTCATACCTTCATGTTTCCTTTCTCGTTAGACATTATATGTATATTCCTCTAAACAGCATATTAATTATGGAATTTTTAGACTATTAATCTATTAATTGTGGATTAACATACTACATTGTGTGTTACATTAATTTGTTTCCATCTACGGTTATAAGGCTCCCCGCAGTCAAAGCAACATGTGAGCAAATGGAACAACTGAAATTGACATTAAACAATATAACCAATGATGTTTCTCAATTCAAACAAGTACTTTGGTAAAATGTAAAAAACGATAAAGAAAATATTTAATACCTACAGAAATCATATTTAAGACGTCATATGCTATTTAAGCCTTATTTTTTCCCTAAATTGTTTTAATGCTTTTTAGTACTGTTTAATGACCTGTGGAAATGTGTGATAAAGGTTATAGACCAGCCGTGTGGTACAGACAATGCTCTTATGAAGCGGGAGAACATTTTAAAATGAATTTGAGAAAGCACTTCTTTACACAACGTGTAGATAGAGTATGGAATAGTCTTCCTGTTCATGTACTGCAAGCTGAAACCCAAAATGGGCATTTATCAATATAACCAAATTTCTTACAGAATCTAAACATGTACGTTGATTTGACCTCCAGCAGGCCACAGGTGTGAATGTCTCTGACCAAACAATCAGAAACAGACTTCATGAGGGTGGCCTGAGGGCCCGACGTCCTCTAGTGAACCCTGTGCTCACTGCCCGGCACCGTGGAGCTCGATTGGCATTTGCCATAGAACGTTATGCTGCCTGAAACATTGTTCAGCATGACCGGTTTAGTGGGGGGTCAGTGATGGTCTGGGGAGGCATATCCATGTAGGGACGCACAGACCCCTACAGGCTAGACAACGGCACCTTGACTGCCATTAGGTATCGGGATGAAGTCCTTGGACCCATTGTCAGACCCTATGCTGGTGCAGTGGGTCCTGGGTTCCTCCTGGTGCGCGACAATGCCCAGCCTCATGTGGCGAGAGTATGCAGGCAGTTCCTGAAGGATGAAGGAATCGATACCATTGACTGGCCCCCACGCTCGCCTGACCTCAATCCAATAGAACACCTCTGGGACATTATGTTCGGTCCATCTGATGCCACCAGGTTGCTCAGTGATGCCCTGGTCCAGATCTGGGAGGAGATCCCCCAGGACACCATCCGTCGTCTCATTAGGAGCATGTCCCGATGTTGTCAGATATGCATACAAGCACGTGGGGGTCATACAGACTACTGAGTACAATTTTGAGTTGCTGCAATGAAATTTCAGCAAACTGGACTAGCCTGCCGCATCATTTTTTCACTTTGATATCACTTTTGATTTCACTTTGAATTCAGCCCTCTGTAGGTTGATAATTTCCATTTCCATCAAACGATTTGGCATCCTGTCATTCCTAAGACATTAACCAGTCCATATCAGTATAGAAATCCAGAATAATTTTTGTTCCTATTTGGATCTGATATGTTTTCAAAGTCTTTCTTAAATTTTTTGAGCAGTGTATGATTCTTATGGGAGTGATGGGGGTGAAATGGGATTCATTCAATTTGTACATGCACCGTTCACAAATAGGAAGCAATAAAAAAAATAAATATTGTAATTATCTATATCATACTTAATATGCAATATATCTAAAAACTACCGCCAGGAGTGCTGATAAAGATTTTGGGCCCCATGAATGCATATTAAATTGGGCCTCCAACCTAAAACAATTGTATTATGTTCCAAATGTTTTAGGGCTGCAGTCACTCAGGGGCCTTTGGAATCATCCTAACATTTCCCCGCTTTACGGCGAAATGCATGTCGTTAGACAACATTCACATTCTTTGTGGCTTATTTTTCATTATTCTTTCACATTTAATTTTTAGTTGAAAAAGATTTATCATTCTTTCGTAAAAACGCATTGTATCCTCCTGAGACCCGACCTATTCATTTATGTCCATTGTAGTGGACATTGTATTTTTGCATTTATTTTTTCACTGATGTTGGGAAATGTATTTATTCTTGTTGTGCACTAAAGAGGACATGCTGTGAAATTAAAATAAGAATAAATTTGAAAAAATCTAAATTGTAAGATGTCTTATTTCCTCCAAAGACAAATAACCTACAATTGAAGGACACTTTTTTCCTTGGGTCTCAGGAGGATATAAAAATGCACATCAAGCAAGGTGAAGGAAGTAGGGGTTGGTATGATGAATAGTTGAAAGGGGTTTTATTAGGCAGAACGTAACGAATACACAGAACGAAAGGACTATGAGGGATCCGTACTGCACTGCCAGAGACTAGACAGGCATAGACCATGTC